CTGGGATCGAACCAGGATCCCTAGGGGATGCCTTTCTCCTCAAGTGGAAGGGCCCCCTTCTATATGCCTTCCTCCAACTCTGCTCATACCCAGGGTCCTAGAAAAGATCAACAGGGACAGGGCAACAGTAATTCTCATAGCCCCTTTCTGGGCACGACAAACATGGTTTCCTTATCTCTTTCAGATGTTTCCTCAACCACCCTATCCCCTCCCCAAACACCACAACCTGCTACCCCAAAACAGGTCCCTGCTTCATCCTCAGCCACAGGTTCTGCGCCTGACGGCCTGGCCCCTCGTTGGTTCCACGAATCTGAAATGTTCTGTTCAAGCCAAGTAAAAGAGGTGGTCATGCATAGCAGGAAGTATACCACACGTTCTCCTTACCTTCAGAAATGACAGTTTCGTCTCCTGGTGCGCTAATAAATGCCTCAATCCATACATAGTGCCCTTACACAAAATTCTAGAGTATATCCTCCTCTTACTGCACTCGGGATTAGCCCTTGCTTTGCTAAAAGTCCATTCAGCAGCGGTCGCCACTTTCTGTCAAGCGATAGATGGTTTCTCAGTGTTTGCACACCCCACAACCAAAAGATTGATCAAAGGGCTCTGCAACCTTCACCCGCTGCACAGAACACCACCTCCAGTGTGGAACCTAGAAATGGTGCTGGACACCCTTACCCATCCTCTTTTTGAACCATTAGCTACCTCCCCACTCTCAATAATGACGATCAAGGTGGTTTTTCTACTCGCTATTACTTCCGTCCATAGAGTCGGCGAGCTTGCGGCCCTTGTGGCGGTACCACCACATACGACCTTTAATAAGGACAATGTTGTACTGTACCCTCACCCTTCCTTCATCTCCAGAGTATGTTCCGACTTCAACATCAACGAACCAATCGTCCTCCCATCCTTCTATCCTAAGCCGCATGCATCCCAACGGGAGGCTGCTCTTCATTCCCTTGACGTGAGTAGAGCACTCGCCTTTTACGTAGACAGTACTCGACCTTTCTGCAAGTCAGAACACCCGCTAGTTTCCCTAGTGGACCGATACAAGATGAACCACTTTTATCTCAACGCATCTCCAGACTCATAGTTTAGTGCATTATGAAGTGTTATGCCATTGGAAATAAACCACTTCCGGGAACACCTAGAGCTCATTCCACGAGGGCTGTAGTGACATCCACAGCTTTTCTCCGAGGGGTTCCCCTCTGAGACATCTGCCGTGCGGCCACATGGTCTGCCAATTATACTTTTATGAGGCATTATGCAGTCTCCCAGCACTTACCCAACAATACCGTGCAGTAGCCTCAGCAGTACTCTCAACAGTTATTAAACCATGACTCCGAGACCTGCCTTCCTTGTGTTCTCGGGCACTGCTACAAAGTCACCAACAGTGGAGCACCCACGGGGACATCACTCAAAGAAGAGAAGGATGTTACTCACCTGGTGCAGTAACAACAGTTCTTCAAGCTGTATGTCCCTGTGAGAGCTCCACTACCTGCCCTCCTCCCCGCTTTGGAGTCTTTGGTCTTTAACTGTGTCTTTCAGGTACTCGGGTGGACATGTGGAACTGGCAGGAGCCGGAACACGTGCGTGAGTAGAAGGGTGCGAACGGCACAAGGTGCCCACCCCGCATGTGCGGTCCGGCCTACTACTGCTATTGAAAACTCCGATCTGCGGTGCCAGGACGACCCAACAGCGGAGCACTCACGGGGACACACATCTCGAACTGTCGTTACTGCACCAGGTGAGTAATTTCCTCATCTTTATATCCTACTTAAAGACCTCCTTCTGCTGTGAAGTCTACATGAAATGTAATTGGTTATTAATGGTTGTGTTTAATGACAATAGGGGAACATGGATACTGTTTTCCTTTTTTAAACAAAAGAAGGAAACACCTTTTGGAAGCATCAAGTTGTGCATATTGCTAACTTGTGTTGTAACTACATGGTCACATTCTCTTCCTCCTGCTACCCCTTTCTTTCCCTCTATTTTTATTACACTTCTTGCTGCTTATTTCAGATTGATTGTAATACTCATTTCTTTAACTAGTGGGTAAGTGTTGTCTAAAGTCAAGATCCTAATTTTGGGGGATGGTTTTCCCTTCTATTTTCCATGTTTCCTAGGAAAGTGCCCAACAGGATGGCATCACTATGAAGGCACAGCCAGTTGCTACAGGGTGTATTTAAATGGGGAGAACTACTGGGACGCTGTGCAGACATGTCAGAGAGTGAATGGATCACTGCCCACTTTTACCACAGATCAGGAGCTCGGGTTCATCCTGTCACAGGAGTGGGACATAGAAGAAAAAGCCTTTGGAAGGAAGGATCAACGTAGGTGAGTCGGAAGGAAAAATAACCATTCCATATCAAGTCAAAATTATTTCTACATGAATTAACTGCTAATGTTGTGCAAGCCAGTTTGGTTTGCTTAAAATTGAATGATAAAATTTTTTCAATTAAGTAACTGCTAGAGCATTCTGACTGCTAAGCTACTGCCAATTGCCATTAGTTTTATATTTTAGCCAGAATCAGTGATTAAACTGCAAACTTCATATGATTGCTTGCAATCAAATAACTTTTCAGTCTCAGTGTCTTTGCATCTATGAAAAGAAAACAGAACTGTAGCAAGAATGAAGTATTTTAGTGTGGCATGCTTTATGCTGAAGTTTTTCACTGGAGTACTGGAAGAGTTCTATCGTTTCTTTAAACTTTTAAACTGATCAAGTTTATCTGCTATAAATGGTGGCAGAGATGCTAGCTTGAGATTGGGCCTTACATTCCTTTCTGAGACATGTCTCTGGATATTTGCTCTAGTTTAGTTTGAGAGGAAGAGGATTTTCTCTCAAGTAGAAAAGCTAAGAAAACAACTCTACCCCAAAATAGAATTGCTATTATTTTATCCAGGATCTTTAATCCGTTATCTGTTGGCTGTCCTCTCACCAGTACTATTAATCTTTTGTTGCTATTGTTATTTCTAGTTCTAATTCAGCATCAGACAGGAAATGCATTTGATAGATATTTTAAGAACATGCACTGCAATAAGTTGTGTTTGCAGTATTTCTTGGAGAGGGGTAACTAGTGGTGTACCCCAAGGGTCAGTCCTGGGACCAATCCTTTTCAACTTATTCATAAATGATCTGGAGAAAGGGGTAAGCAGTGAGGTAGTAAAGTTTGCAGATGATACCAAACTGTTTAGGATAGTCAAGACAGAAGCAGACTGTGAGGGACTCCAAGAAGATCTCACCAAACTGAGTGATTGGGCAACAAAATGGCAAATGAAATTTAATGTGGATAAGTGTAAAGTAATGCACATCGGGAAAAATAACCCCAACTATACGTACAGTATGATGGGGGCTAATTTGGCTACGACAAATCAGGAAAGAGATCTTGGAGTTATCGTGGACAGTTCTCTGAAAACTTCCACACAGAGTGCAGCGGCGGTCAAAAAGGCAAATAGGATGCTAGGAATTATTAGGAAAGGGATAGAAAATAAGACCCAGAATATCTTACTGCCCCTGTATAAAACTATGGTACGCCCACATCTTGAATACTGTGTACAGATGTGGTCTCCTCACCTCAAAAAAGATATTTTGGCCTTGGAAAGGGTTCAGAAAAGGGCAACTAAAATGATTCGGGGTTTGGAACGGTTCCCATATGAGGAGAGGTTAAAGCGACTGGGACTTTTCAGTTTAGAAAAGAGGAGACTGAGGGGGGATATGATAGAGGTCTATAAAATCATGAGTGGTGTGGAGAGGGCTGATAAAGAAAAGTTATTTATTAGTTCCCATAATAGAAGAACTAGAGGACACCAAATGAAATTAATGGGTAGCAGGTTTAAAACTAATAAAAGAAAGTTCTTCTTCACACAGCATGTAGTCAACCTGTGGAACTCCTTGCCAGAGGAGGCTGTGAAGGCTAGGACTAGAACAGAGTTTAAAGAGAAGCTGGATAAATTCATGGAGGTTAGGTCCATAAAAGGCTATTAGCCAGGGGATAGAAATGGTGTCCTTGGCCTCTGTTTTTCAGAGGCTGGAAACGGCTGGCAGGAGACAAATCGCTTGATCATTGTCTTCGGTCCACCCCCTCTGGGGCACCTGGTGCTGGCCACTGTCAGCAGACGGACCTTTGGTCTGACCCAGTACGGCTGTTCTTATGTTCTTATGACTAGTCAATGGATTTTTTTCCATCGACGAGTCAATAAGTGGAGGATCTGTAGCAGTGTTAGCTCCCAGCTTGGGAGCTAACCCCGCTGCTCTGCCTTTTAAGTGTATTAAGAGCCTGTTGGCTCTTAATACATTTAAAAAGCTAAAGCGCAGCAGGAGGGACCCAGCATGAGCTGAGGGGAAGCAACTAATCGAGGGACTGGTCAACTAGCCAATAAGCTTTTGTTTATCAGATAATCAACTAGTCGCTTATATCACTAGCTGCTGCCTCTCTATCATCGTGGAGCTGGGGGAGCACAAGGCTCCATGGATCCAATGCTTGTGGGGAACTGACTCCCACTTCCCTCCCCCCTTGCTGCCTAAGCGAAGCGACTAGTCGAGGGACTAGTTGACTATCTGATAAGCTTTTGCTTATTGGATAATTGACTAGTTGCTTACATCCCTACTTCTGTATAATGTGGCTTCAAAACAGTTCAGTGCTATCGTAGCAACAAAATGAATTCAATACTTAAAAGTCTCAGGGGTAGCTGTGTTTAAAGCTCAATATTTGTCTTTTTTTTTTTTTTTTTTTTTTTACAAACACA